TTTTTTGTGCGTGCGTGTGTGTGTGTGTGTGAGAGAGAGAGAGAGAGAGAGAGACAAAACAAACGCGTCAGGCCCGCGGCGTCAGGCGCGTCAGAGAAAAGAAAAGAAAACGAAAAACAATAAACAAAAATCACCGCAACTCGGAAACCCCCACTCGATGGCCACTACAGGCTACTTTAAAGGATTCGAACGCCCGACCTCTTTTCCAAAAGTAACGATAAAAGAAAGCAAAACTAAAAAAACAAAACGAAACGCTCGCCCGAAACAAAACAATCGCGTCAGGCGCGCGGCGTCAGGTGCGCCGCGTCAGGCGCGTCAGAATTTTACATCGGACGTCTCACTGAAAACAATCGCGCGTCAGAATTTTACATCGGACGTCTCACGCTAAGCGATGCAAAAAACACTAACGTGGACCATCGCAGAAGCGAGAGTCGCCCCGCGGCCTACTAAGTTTTAGTAGGGTTATTAGATGCAGTTTTTGTTCCTTTACCCGCAGAGGCACAAACAGATTTAGTTATAGACAAGTTCTTTGACCATTGGGTCAGTGAACATGGTCTCCCGCTGTCAATAGTTAGTGACAGATATACCAGGTTCACTAGTCAGAACTGGCAGGAGTTTATGAGAGTCTATGGCTCCAGGTTGTTAATGTCATCTGGCCGTCATCCTGAGACTAACGGTCAGACTGAACAGATGAACAAAATCCTGCAGCAAGTTCTCATAATGTATATTAGACCTGATCAACTTAACTGGGATGAGATGCTTCCCAAGGTAGCCAGCGCATACAATAACCGCGTGCACTTAGCGACGTGTCGCACTCCCAACGAGCTACATAAGTCCTTTAGACCACGTAGACCGTTTGAGGGACTGAACCGGGATCAGATTCAAAGGGCTACCGCCCGGTACTAGGGAGTTCGCACTACACTATGGAAAGGAGATTGCTACCGTCACAGAGAACCTCAGGAAGGCCCAGCATAAGATGATAGAGCAAGCCAATAAGCACCACCGCCCATCACGTTTCAAGTAGGCGACTTAGTCTGGGTCAAGTCCAAAGAGTTTGCTCCTGAGGAGAACACCTCGCAAAAGTTACTACCTGCATACCGGGGACCGTGGCCAGTCTTAGAAGTCAAGGGCAGAGAGGATGGACCGTCCTACACAGTCAAGATTCCAGCGCACCTCCACACCTATCCGGTGTTTCATGCGTCAAAGTTGTTGCCTTGTATCACAAGTCAACAGTTTCCATCACAGAGGTCCACGATCCCTCTGGACATGGACGGAAGGTACGACATTGACGGCATAGTAGGTGAAGATGTCTTCAGAACAGGAGGGAGGGGCCGTCCACAGAAACAGTATAAGGTCAGGTTCGCTTTTCAGGAACCAGAGGACAACCCCTGGTTTACACGAACAGAACTTCTAGAGACAGCTCCCGAAGTAGTCCGAGCATATGAAAGAGATAAAAAAAGCGAAAGGTCCTGCCTTAGACTGAAGTATTCTCAGAGGACCTCGAATTTAGGCCGGCGGGAGTGAAACGGTTTTCACCTTTTGCAGTCACAGATGCGGATCCCAGGGCTCGATCCTCAGACCTTACCTTGCCTTACCTGTGTACAGTATCAAGTCGACCCTGTGTGTCTTGAACCCGTGACCTGTGTTAGCAGTTGGAAGTTGTCTGTCGTAGGTCTGAGATCCTNCCTTACCTTACCTGTGTACAGTATCAAGTCGACCCTGTGTGTCTTGAACCCGTGACCTGTGTTAGCAGTTGGAAGTTGTCTGTCGTAGGTCTGAGTAGATGACGGGCCTTGAACCTTAGACCTGTCGAAGTAGGGGTCATATCTGCATAGGGGTCATAGTTGTTGTAGTTCTGGAAGGTCAAGGTCGTAGCTGCTACAGTCCTGAAAGGTCAAGGTCGTAGCTGCTACAGTCCTGAAAGGTCAAGGTCGTAGCTGGTACAGTCCTGAAAGGCCAAGTCCGCAAACTTCCGGAAGGTCCGGAAGTGGCCTTTCAAGTTTCTTCTCACGTTATACACAGCAGACCAGAGGCAAGTGGGCAAGTGGTGAGTCCAACTTCGTTTAGTCAGCAAGTACCATGAGGGACTGTGCGCACCATGGGCCCCGTGGAAAAGGGCAGACCAGCGACTTACAGAAGTATAAATCAAGAGGCAGCATCCTGCCATTCATGCATTCCTGCGTAAGCCATGCGGAAGCGCTGTCTGAGCGGCTTGTGCGAGGTGGTCTGCAGATGCCGGAGGTCGAAGTGGGCAGTGAGGAAGATAAGAGCGCCATAGTCAGTGGTGGTGAGCGGCCATAGCCGCCGTAGGGTAGAGTTGGTTGTTAGCGAGTCAGAGTGTGGGTGTGCTACAGAGAGTGTGTGCATGGGGTGTTCAGGGAGATCCGGAGTCGAGTGTGAGTGTGTGTGTGAACAGTGACTGAGGATACTAAGTTGGGGAAGGAAGTTGGGTGCTCAATCACCGTAGCCGGTTGAAATGAGTTTGTATCCGAACTGTGTTCTCACTTTGAATATCTCTGAGCTTTGTGTGGGCGCACAGCGCCAGTGTGGATTGTCATCTGTTTGCATGTATGCGAAGTAAGAAGAAGCGAGTCTGATTGCACCTTGCCAAACTGGTGTGTATTTGAATTCGACTGCCTACCAGTTTATCACTGGGAGCAGGTCGATTCTATGGGCCACCAATCAACGGTCAAAATTTAGAAAACAAAAAGTGGGCCCCTGTTTTTGTTTTTGCGTTGGTGGTGCCGCGGACCTCCCAGTGGCTGTCAGCCATGTTATTGCATTTGCTAAGGCCATCAGGATTTGAACTCATGATCTGTTTAAAAACAGTTACATACATGTGTGTAGTACTGTGCACCATTCAGCCACATGAGCTGGGTAGACGCTTTTTTTTCCTCCCGGAAGAGCAACAAAGAGTTGAGGGAAGGAGGAGGGTGGGGGAGAAGTGGATGGATTATGCCAAACCCACCTTCTTAACTATTATCAATAAAGAAGGTCAAGGAAACTACTGATCTTCTCCTCTCTGAACTTACTAGATATCTAGTCAGAATGTCTCCTCTGCAGTCCTCTTCCTTCGTTCTCTCTTCCTCGCTGTCACTTTCTCCACCTCTGCCCTTCTTCTGCTTTCCCTCCTTGCCTATCATCGATGAAACAACTTCCCCGAGCGCACCACTCTCTTCCTTGCCTTTGTGGTTCAGCTTCTGCGGCCCTGCAATCGGGGCAATGAGCATCTGCAAACAACCGACAGCAACAGTCGCCGTTGTTGTTGTCGAACTCGTCAAGCTCTTCTCAATGCTGGTGTTGTGCACTATAAGCCTGTAAGGATCGGGCGGCATCAGCTTGCCCTCCTTCAAGCTGTCTTCGATCCACTCGTACCGTAGAAACATCTGACAATTTGACAAACCGTAACCATCAACAGCAAAATGTCAGCAGAAAGGGGATGTAATTTGGAACTGGATAGGGCTAAATCTCAGGGAAGAAAAAAAAAGTGGAGGTTCTTCGTGGCATAGAGCAAGAGCGTTGGATGTTGCATATAACATCATTGCAGAGTATCAACAGTTTTAATTTTTTGTAAGGCTGCCAGCCAGGTCGCCCTGGCCGCCCTGGGCTGCCTCGGTTGGTCCGGGCAGGCAAGGTCCAGGCCAAGGTCTCTGCCAAAAAAAAAAAAAGAGAGAAAACATTCAAAACAATGAAAAAAAGAACTATGTTATTCCAGATAATAAATCAAGCAACTTTTGGCTGAGGGGCACTCTGGAATTCTATGCCAATTTGAAAATAAATTAAAAAATAAGATCAGGAGGGTCCAGCTGCACTGGCCCAGCTGGCCCATCCGGGCAAGTGGTCCCAGGTCACTCCGGTAGCCTACCGTCTTCACCCGAATAGAACGCACGGTCGTTATAGCTGTATTTGGCAAAACTTTCAGCCCAGATGCGGTAATAATTACCAGGCGTTCTATTCGGGTGAAGACGGTAGATTAGAAGTGGCTAACCTTCTCTCTCCAAAGCTCTATGAACAACGAACTTTGTGAGTGGTTACGGATATTTTGGCGGTAGTGTTTTTTGGACAACATTCTCGTGTTCAGCAAGGCGGCAAGGCCTTCCGACTAGTTCTGCAGAAGTTAAAGGAGGTAAGTTCACGATCAACCAGAACAAAATGTGAGTAGGCCAAGTGTCAAGTGGTGTACCTTGGCCATGTGATAGATGAAAACGGTCTGCAAAAGGAAGCGAAGAAGCTCGTTATGATCAAAGACTGCCCTAGACCACCATCCCTCACTGAGCTCAGATACTTCTTTTTTAACAAAGCCTTATGGCCCCGGCTCCATATCCATTCCGGGGAGCATCAGTTCGGTTCCTATTCCATCGGCAAGTCAGAATGTAGCATACAACTCACTCCAACGCTTCTCCCCTTTATAGACGGGAGACCCAAGTGAGCGGAATTGATTACTTCCTTTCTGGAAGGATGTGCCTCCCCTCACCCCTGCCTATGTTAGCCTATTGCTACTGGCTCTTTGTTCCCTGTCCCATCCTTTTGTTGTAAGTTTCTGCTTCATCTATTGCTACCTTCTGGTTTACGCAGGTATTGCCTAGTGTCATCCTTCTCAGTCTGTCCAAGGCATGTTGCCAGCTAAAACCCTAAACCCTCAGGGGGCTCCCCCCTTTCTTCTGTTGATTTTACTCCTGTCAGACTGTAGTGGGTCAGTTGGTAGGTGATGATTGGAGATGCGGGATGTTTTGGAGGGTATGGGGGTTTTGGGGTCATGGCGTATGGGTCGGTTTTGTTACTGTGTCTGTTCTGTAGCTCTGAGATGAGATGGGTGGAGTGGTGGGGATGCCTTGTGTGCTGGGATCTGATGACTGATTTGGTTCAGGCCCTTTCTTGCACGCTTGTGTTCATTACTTCTACGTAGGGGTGAGTCGTGAGGGGTTGGGGGTTGCGTCTGGGGTTGGAATTTGGTCGTGGGTGGTAGGGATTATTAGCCAATCCCCTTTAGGACCAATTTCTCTCCTTCTATTCGGCCTAGGTTTCCATTTCCTGGTTTGATAATATTGAATCTTTTGACTATTTCTTCCTTATTGTCTAGGTTATCCCTGATTTGTTTATTTGTTTTCCTCCAAAGTGACTGCATTTCTGTTTCTACAAGTTGTTTTATGGTGATGAGAGGGTTCTCTGGTATGTTAGTGTGATGTTCGAAGGTAAGGTTGCACCGTCTCTTCCAGATAGCCCATAGGGTCCCCTTTCTGACAAGCAAGAAGAACTGGTCGGAGCCTCTCAGGGGGGGGCTTGTTCAGTGTCCAGGAATAATGTGCTAGGGCTTATCGGCAATATTTTGTTTGACATAGAGTTCCAGGTTAGTTCGACGTCTGACCATAGCTGCTTGGTTTTCTCGCATTTTATGAAGCAGTGATTGAGGGATTCCTTGGATTGGGTGTTGCGGACGTTGCACCAGGTAGATTGCTCCGTTCTGTTTTCCTTTTCTCTTCTCTGTGATAGTCATAGGTACTGGTCTGAAGGTTATAAGCCAAAGCAAGTTGACTGGTTTGACCGGTCTTGTGCAGAAGATAGAGGACCA